GTACAGAATTGACCTCTCTACAGATTTATTATAAGTATAGATTGGTGTCGATTCTGGCATGATTCTCTAAACCTAAACTTAAATTTGACAACAGTGTATCCTTGTCATTTTTTATACAGAATGAAAAGGAGAGAATAATGTTAAATTTAGTTTTAAGTTTAGAGAATCACGTCGGAATCGACACCATTAGCTCACAAAACAAGTTACAATTAAATATTAAAAAAAAAAACAAAGCAATTACAATAATATAAAACCAAACTGTAACTCTAAATATTTAAGCATAACATGATAAAATTTTATGGGCTGAAGTTTACACAAAAGAAAAACATTTAAATTGAATTTCAACAATTAAACTACAAAAAAAAACACTTAAATAAAAGTACAAATTAACCTATTTTCTCTTTGTTAATGAAGTATTAATCGTTGGATTTCTTTCCGAAATTCAAGAAGCCGACTACAAGAAATGTCCAAGGTAGAATGATCCCTATGCAGGTTATCTTCTTTCTTCTTCTGCTGTCTTTTTAAAACCATCGAATCGTCGCAGCTTTGAAAGTCTTCTCAAGTCCTGCACTGCTCTTCATAAGTAATTCAGGTTAAGAACCTCGAATGCGATTTTAATTTGTCACATTTCACGTGATAGGACGCTTTGCATTATTCATATGCCAGTCTGACGATGCCGGTTTTCTTCCCGCACCGGCAATGATTCGCGGATTTACTCGGCCAAGATTAACTCGGAGACGGGCGGGATCTTGATGGGAAACCCGCGTCCCGATAAATGCGGTATTAAGTTCAATTTCAGGTTCGCGACGTTCCGCAGTCGCTCGCAGCCAGCGATGCGGGCTACGTGAAGATATATGAGGTGTAGGACTTTTTCACGCTTTACAAAACAGATTGGGTTGTTAGCTATTAAAATTCTGAGTTCACCAGAAGTTTAAAGGTTTTTGAAGTGAAAACTCTTTAACGGCGTTGTACACTTTTTTTGTATGGATAAAAAATGTTAAACTCGCGTCAGGTTAAACACGTGGGCTGATCGCATCATGACACATAATAAAATTGGAAAGGTTGTTGACTTTCAATATATTGGACGAAACATAGTAATATTTTATTTTATCGTATTATAATAATAAGTCTCTATCTAGGACGGCAGCTTTATTGCGAAGAAAATGCAGTTATTTTACAATAGATGTCGCCAGGTGCGCTTAAATGTGATTCATGTAAGTTGATATCTTTACAATAGATGTCGCTAAGTGCGCTTAAACGTGATTCATGTAAGTTGATTTTTCTGAGCGATAAACTTTTTTAATATAATATAAATTGTCATGTTTGTGTACGATAGCGCAATAAATAAATATTGTATTCTACCACATACATGATAGTACTTTTATACTGACAATTAAAACAATTCGTGCAAAATTATTCCCTAACCATTCTAAAATATCAAAAAACCAAACAAGGACTGTGCAACCCGTCCTTTTTTTATAGTAAGTTACTGCACTCAATCCAATTCGCCCGATCAAATCCGATCAGGCGCTAATTCGCAAACTTTTTTCTCATTTGCAGTGATAATTTAAAGAGAAAATTGCATCTGCAAATTGCAGTATCTTAGTGTCGTTATAATAAGGCAGTAATGGATCACTAAATAGCTCGGTGATTATCACTTCCATCTGTCAGAAGCAGTTAGGTAATAGGACTACTGAGCCGGTGCGGATAACCTTCCTTTACCATACCGGCTTGCTTTATTCTATCATTACTGAAGGAACATATTGCCTCATGGTATAATGATATTGTTTCCTCATTGTTGTCCCAAAAAGTTTTAATTATAACTGAATTTAAAACTGTTTTAATAGCTTTAGTGCCAAAATGTAGCATCTGTTAGTCAGTCATGTGTAATACCTTACGAGGTACATGTACAACCATCGATATAAGGTTTTTAGCATTTTGTTTCTAGTCAATATTTAACCTTACTTATTACTGTATACCCGTGCTCCCTATTAATCAACCTTAGGTACCAGTTATTCTGGGTACCAGTCAATCCATCAATAAGGTCCAAGAAATTAGAAATTAATCGCTGAACTCCTATTTATATAGAAAATGAAATGTTGAATTAGGAAACACATTCAAAAAGAGTTTTAAAGGGTATTACAAGTTAAGTTTTAAAACTGAATTTGTACATACAGGTAAGATGCACCCAGTGATAGTCACGAAGGAGGGCCATTAATCTCCTCCACGTGGCAACTCCTGAAGGCACAGAGTCGGCTTATCGACCCCTGAATTATTCATCCTCTTTCATTTTAAAACTGAAGTGTCCGCGATCGGCTCACGTAGGTACCTCCTTACCTACTTTTAAACTTGTCTGGAGTCGTGAAGAACTTTGCTCTTTTATATGAGCTCACTATAAAGTCGCTTTGTAAATTATGCCATAAATCGCATCGATTTTCGAAGCATCTCTTTTAATATTAGTCGCACATACCACATAATTCATTTAAACTTTTTACTAGGTACTAGATATTTCAGGTCTCGGAATCTTTTCTGCGTTTGTCTTGTGAACAATAGAAAAGGACAATGTTAAAATTGGCCTAAGAACCAACACCAATTTGGCATTTATGATAATTCTTAGTATGTTTTTTGCGATAATTATCAGTATTTAGATTGTGACGGACACTTCCAGTTAAGTAAGCAAATAAAAAGTTAAAAAATAATCTGAGACAATAAATACCATTTTATGTGTATAATCTATGGCAGCGCTGCAAACAAAACACTCTTTCTTCCTAATGCCGGCACTTCACTTGGTTATTCGTATTTGCTATTTTAAAACATGACATCAGTCTGTCCTTTTCATTCCTTATTAAGCATGACAAGGACAAACTGTTGTCAAGTGAAAGGCCGGCATAAAATTCTTTACTCTGTGGTGGTGGTGCATGCAGTTTGCATTTGTAGTAATCTGTGGCATTCGTGCATTTCAAAGAGTAGTATATATATAATATACCGGAAAGTGCATTCTCGTTTCAGATTACCTGTTTTGTGTGTTTATTTGCGATTGTTTTTCCTTTAATTTAACTATTTCGGCTATCTAATATGCCATTGATGTTACCAAAGAGCAGAGCCCTTATTACCAAATGCTAGTGAACCTGTGCCACAACATCCTGAGAGGATCATACTGCCAAATTATTCATGAACACCTGATACACATTCACGCTGCATATTTACACAATATACATGTGATATACAAATAAATACAATAAACAATATGATACAATTAAGTGAGAAATAGTCAATAAATAAGAAGCAAAACTACAGTTTTTATTTTATTCATGATTCCTACCTAACCAAAATTTTCCTAATAGTTATTCTTTAAAATCGCACCGAATAAAATGAATTAGTTGTAATATTAATTCACTTCATACTGAGTTCATACTAAATTCATAGGTGATGTGTCATTGAATATTAAACATAACCTCAAAAAATTTTTAGTTTTCCTAATAATTTAAGTTCTCAGAAGTGTCCGTCAATAATCTTTGTTTTTACAGTCATTTACTTACGATTTTGAATCTAGAAAATAATATGTCATGATTGTTGGTTCTTAGGCTAACTATGTATGGACGTTGAACAATGTCCTTTGTTCTTCTTTTACTTGAGAGAAAGACAAAACATATTTAAAGTTAAACATGATTTGGTCACAACTTAGTTTTGGAAAACTTTATAATAGGTAACAGGTTCCAGGGCTCCACGGGGTATAGGGGATTGGGTCAGGTAGGCAAGGGCGCTAGTAATATTTTTTTGTATCGGAAGCGTGTCTATGGTAGCCGTTTACTCTCAGGCGGGCCATATGATTTTTTGCCTCCCTTTTATCATTAAAAAAGCTTCTCTAAATATGCCTAGGTAAATATCGAAAACTAAAAAAAGGAAAGAATTTTGAAGAACTTACGCTCGGTTAGAAAAAAATTGTGGATGTTATAAAATGAGATGTTAAAATTTGCAATAGATTGATAGATTTAATCGATAATCTCAACACATACTTAGGCGTAGAACTTTATTAACGATATTCATCATACATCCACTGACGCAACGTGCGAATCGACTGTAACTGAACCCTTTGATGGATGGCCTTTAGCATCTGAGTTCGTCATTGTAGAATAGGAAGCTATTTGTCATAATTTGACGTTAATGGTGCCGATGTCTGATCGGCGAGGTGTCTTGTTGATTTATGTCATTGTTTCGTGTGGATGCCAATTAGAATAATGCTTTGGATGTTGTTAGCTGACACGTCATATTTGGTTTCAGATATTATATCGCGTTTATACTTAAATAGTAAAATGGTCATTTATCCTTTATTATACAGAGTGTAAAAGAACCTTTACGAAGTCGAAGGCCATGTAATTTCCACATCATGGCGATCATTTTTTTCCTCTGGACCATACCTGGGTTTATAGATATGGAGGTATTGAAGTCTAAGTTACAATTTTTTTTAAAGATTTTTACATAAATATTTTCAAAACGTTATTTTGAAACTTTTTTATCGACGCACTTACACACACGCACTCACGTACACACAGGCACATTCTTTGCGTAGCGCCACAGTAGGGCGCCGCGCTATACATTGAGTACTGGACAAATGTTGTATTTTTCTTACTTAAAAATACAATATTTTTTTTACTTAAAAATTCAAACATATAACATTCCTGCTAACCCATATGAGAACACTACGTTACAATACCCAATAGTTTGAATTTTGGCGCGATGGTGCATTGTAATAATAATTTTAATAATAATATTTTTATTTGAAGTTATACTTCTTTAGGCGCGTTTAGAAAAAATGATGAGAGTGAAATTTTAAGATGCGCGCGCATCACTGTAACACAAAATTTTAACACCATGAAGTTGGTCGCTTTAGCGACCATCTTCATGACCAGTTTGACCAGATGCGTAATTATATCGTTTTGTTCGCCAGCATCTCATTTATATTTCTTTAAAGTAAAGATTACTTGTATACATTGTTTCAGATTCAACAAATATTGTGATCACTATTGTGAGCCAACCAGAGCCCTATCACGCCAGCGTGGCGGCAAGACTCAAGCAACAAATAGAAAGCCAAGTATTAGAAATAGAAAAGGTAAGTTCTCTCGAAATGAATAATACTTTTAAATTATCATACTGAAAAATTTTGTTATTATATATATTTTGAACTGACATTGAGAATTGTAATTATTCACATAAATTTGAATTTAAATTATAATGATAAAATACTTGTTGCTAAATGAATGATGGGTAAATTTAATATGACTGTTATGTTTTTACCCGGCTGCGCAATGCAAGAGCGCGAAGCGCGACGCGCAGACAGGGTTATGTGTTTAACAGTCTATATATGTATGTTTGTTCCTTTGTGGCACACTAGAGACCAAACGCCTGGACTGATTTTGATGATTCATACATCAATCGATTCGTCTCAATCATGGGAGTGCTACTAAAGATATGATAGTAATCAAAATTCAATATGGGCTAAATTAGGCGCCATATTGTGACGAAGTAAAAAAAATAAGTTGACAAAATATGTCGAGTGGGGTATCACTGTCTAGATAATCAAAAATCATATTTAGGTTCCTAACACCATTTTTCATTTAATATGAACGTTCAGGATCTACAACGCTTTAAAGTTGTATATTAACCACTTACGCTTTTAATTTCAATCTTACGTTTGTATGGATCTTTGTTACTCTTTCACCTAAAAAATACTGAATGGATTTTAATGAAACTTAACAGTAACTTAACAGCTCATATATGATAATTACATATATATAATAATTTATGTAGTTATTGAGTGAATTGGCCAATATATAACAATAAGTGTCACATAAGACGGAAAAAAATCTCCCATCTGCGAGCCATTTTGGCCTGCACTGCAAAAACAATAAAAGTTACATGAATGTAATGTAGAGTAAAAATGTATCTCTTAAATAGTTCTAAAAAAAAGTCCGTGACACCATATATCTATTTTTAATGTGTAAGTCATTACCGCTAAAATAGTGAATCAAAACTAAAATATTATTTGATATCCATTTCCAAAATGCACATTTTGTATTAACAAATCATTTTTTATCAAAACAAATACTTTTATCGCTTTTGATATTTAAAGACGATAAACTTTGCTTTTTGCACTATGTCATTTCGACAAATATTTAAAAAGTTACAACGATGACAAAGTGATAGCGCGGTGTACTATGTAAAAGAAAAAAAAATGGGCTATTCGCAGTATCTGATCCTATACGAAGCACTAACACAATAAAACTGTGTTACAGTTCCTTCTTATTAAATGATGAAAAATATATTATCATAATAGGTATTTATGATTATTGAATTTTAATGAAAAACTCAGAATTTTACTGTTTTTCATTTTTTAACGATATTACTTAATGTTACAAAAAAGGTTTACCTAATATAATGACAAATAACCCATTTTTCGCTAGTAAGTACATACTTATTGGAATCCCTGTATTTATTAATCAGCTCGCGATAATATTGGTTTTGTAATAATTCTGCAAAATTCAAAGTAATTAATGTAGATTTTTATAGGTAAATCACCCCTTTCATCACCCTATACCTATAAGTATTGCGATGTTGTAGCTAAGAACCAAGTTCCCATCTACTTCTATATGGGAATTCATTATATTCGATTTAGCTATTAGGGCACGGAAGTGCAACAAACAAACTCACTTTCACATCTATAAAATTATATTATACTTACTAGTGATCCACCCGGGCATTGTACGGGCGAAATTTATTTATCGGGATAAAATATAGCCTATGTCACTCGGACAAAATGTATTTAAATAAAGAAAAATGTAATAATAAATAATGTAGCTACCTTATGATGAATTAATATTTGAAACCGGTTCAGTAGTTTGTCAGATTATTTGTTACAAACATACAAATCTTGCCGCTTTATAATATTAGTATAGATAGTTAGGATAAGATAAGTATTTAATTGATGAAAAAGATTTGAAAATAAAGTAAGTAATAGGTTTATTTGATTATATTTGTAAAAGTTACTTAGCATTTGTGCTTTACAGTGATACGTTATTGGGTATTTTTATAACAAAATAAAAATTGGGAAAGTAATTGCTGTGATTGCACTACTGGGAGTACTCTTCATTCGAGCTTTACACTACCAATAAAAAAGGGTCGAACACAAAGTCTTTGACCTGTTATATGTGAACGCTTTAAAAGAAAACCACAAAGAGAACTATAAATTGATAATAAATGAGATTGCTATGGTGCTCTATCTAACGTTATGAAAATTTTATTATGCGCCTTTAGTTTAATCAAATATTATAAACTTTGCTTTGGTGATTGCATAATTATTTAATTTAGTGATCTAAGGCAGTTGCCACCATTGTCCAAAACAACAAACGGGAATTACTGCTTTCTTCAACCTGCGACATAAACGTCATTGATTGGTATTGTATATAGGATGATTAAAAACATTTGAAGTTAACTTCTGGCATCTACATATGGGTTTCTGTGAATTATGTAGGTATATCAAATTATGAGACTAGGGACTGACACTGAATTTGTGTATATCACAATCTTAGACGTCCGACATTGACATGACAATGCAGCCACTGTCAATTTTAAATAGTCGACGAATAAAAGTAAATGAATTTTATATTTACTGCTAAACTATTAAAAAAAATGGATGCGTGTAACTTATGTGCGTGAGAAGTTATACTTCTTTAGCATCATTAAAAATATTTTTTAATTGCATGCAAATAATTAATAATTACAATAAAATAATAAAAGGACTGGAAAAGGATAGTTAACACAGTCAATTAAGTTCAGTTTTAATTTGAAAAATTAAATAAATATTCAAAATATTCAATTAAAATCGCTACTGAATTTAAGTTATTAGTCCATATGTAATTAGCACTTGTAAGTAACGAAAACACGTTGTGTCTATATAGAAACTAGAAACATGTGGATAAATATTATAAATATGAAAACAGTGATCAGAGGCGACGAGCGTGCCAACATTGTTTTTGACAACGCGATCATCTTATGGAGCTCCGTGGATCGTTCAAAGTACCTTTCGAACAGATGTCTAATAATGGTGGATTATTAACCACTTAGTGGTATTATTAGACACTAACATTCATAACGCGCCCGCGGCCAACTTCATGGTGTTACTATTACAGTGATTCGCGCGCATCTCGAAATTTCACTCTCATCATTTTTTCATAACGCGTCCGCGGCTAACTTCATTATGCTACTTTTGTGTTACAGTGATGCGCGCGCATCTTAAAATTTCACTCTCATCATTTTTTCATAACGCGGCTAAAGAAGTATAACTTCAAAACATAAACAAAAGATGACTTTTTGAGTAAGTTCTAGTTTACTATTAAATTTACATACATTAGAGATATTTATGTAACGACTTGATTTAACTTCACACATTTTTGCGAAAATTGAGGCCCATCTGTAGCCTTGACCCCGCTGGTAAAGTCTCTATATGTCTTAATAAATCAATCTTTTAGACCGACGCAAGGTACTTAATAATTCCCACGATATTAATTCCCTTACTGAAGTAACAAGACTACGGTATATACCGTCTTAAAATACTAACTAAAAAGTGTGAAATAAAAAAGGTAAATTTAAAAAATCAAAAAACCCGACTGCTTAATTATACTTCAAATAAAAACCGAAAAGAAAAAAACAAGTCCAGTAGTCTATAATTCTGTTAATAAGGAACAAAGCTACTTTAGCAGTCGGGACCCACTGTTGAAAAATATTATGTATTCTTGAATATCTAATGGGTCCCGACTGTTAAAGTAGCTTTGTTCCTCATTAACAGAATTATAAACTACTGGACTTGTTTTTTTCTTTTCGGTTTTTATTTGAAGTATAATTAAGCAGTCGGGTTTTTTGATTTTTTAAATTTACCTTTTTTTAATATATTAGAATTCTGTGCATGCTTTTGATATGGCTTAATAGGTTTAAGATTCTTAGCTTTATATGCAAACACCTTTTGTCAACCCTATTTATTGCAACTAAAGATTATCTCTTATCTATTAGACAAGTCCGTCCGTCCGTCTGTGGTGCTGTTTCAGCGGCCAAACCGTAGGAGATAGATAAAGAGAATATTTAAGTTATAAGTTAAGAATAGTCTGATAAGACTACAAACCGGATTTGAGTAACGTAGCACTTCCGGTTTTCGAGAAATCACGAATTGCAAACGAAACCACACAAAATCTCCGAAGTTCTCAATTAATTAAATACATTTTTTTTTAAATCAGGTTTTGGTGAACATTTGGTTCACTGGTTTGCTAGTTTTAATTCTAATTCCAATTTAACACTAAAATTTTCTTTAACATGCTCGTAAAACAATTAGCTGCGATGCATACAAAATCACATGATTCCAAAATTAAGATAAACAATATGCATGTCACAGTATTCAATTGTCTTTATCAAAATCTTATTGTACGCGGCATAATTGATGCGGAACGCATGTTGTTGTCACGTATGATGAATAGGATAATTTGCGAGGTTCATTCGTCATTGGCGCCACGTTGGGTGTCGTCTTGTATACCATATTTGCCCAACGAATAAGATTATGTCAACAGCTGGATGTTTTACGTCTTTATTAAGAGGAAATTCAATGAATATTCATCTTCGAAGCTGCTTATTTTGTGAGTCCTCACAACATTTAGTTGAAAAATCGCATATTATTTTGCCACATTCACCATATTTTATTGGTTGGACTATTGGTTACAGCTACAGCTGCTTAGTAATTTTTCTACATCTTATGTTACCTGCACCAGAAACTGCATCCAATTTTTATCTTATCCTGATAGAATTTCATGGAATCGAATGAGCCTGTTCAAAACTATTCTTTGCACATCTTATATCTATTAATTTTCACCTTTCTACCACCAGCCCCTATTTTTATAGCGATACGAAGTTTGCTGGGTCAGCTAGTATTTTTATATTATTTACTATTTTTGTATTCCTCTCTCTATAATTTTGATCCTTAAATGTTACTCCATCAGCGTCTGCCGACAGTCTACCTAACACATGAGGACTTCCCAATATCTGGAGCGTGGACTATTATCCCCCTACTGCGACCACTGCTGGCCAGGCATAAGGGGAGTGACGTGCGATGGGTGCTCTTCGTAGAACCCCATACAGCAGTAAGATGCGAGAAGCTGCTGGAGGCTTTAGCGAGTGCCGATAAACAACAGGTTTGTCCTTTCATTTGCGAGTAGAGTCTGTGCGGAAAGAGAATGGGATTTAGATTGGAGGGCGCTGTAGTGCTTTTCTACCGTATTTGTAAGGTTTTACCCCTTTTAGACGTGATTATATACAAAAAACAGCAAGAAATCACAACAACAAACAAATCCGTATCAATACAAAACTTTGACGTTTTACAGATTGCTGGGTTTCATTGCCAAATAAAAATCTTAATGTTAGTGCCGCTTTTCGCCACGCCCATTCTCTTTCTGCACGAACTCTATCACAATTTTGAGTCCGATTTTTCTGGTGTGATTCACATGCTGCCGTGTCGCTTGGATCCGAAATCCTATTAGCATTTCCAATCACAGACATTTTTAATACAAGCTTTTGATACAATGTTGTCTCATAGTGATCTTCCTCCTCTTTTACTCTTTTCTACTCTTTTGCCTGAAGACGAGTTGATACAAAATAATCTGTCAGTCAAATTATTATCAAAAGTAGGTTCAATCAATCAATCATAATCATAATAATCATAATCAAAATCATTTATTCAGTTGAGGCTGTTACAAGCACATATGAATGTCTAGAAGCTACGCCATCGGTTCGTAAATCTACGGCAGGAGACCTTGTACTGAGAAGAACCGGCAAGAAACTCAGCAAGGGCTGTTTTTTTCTCCCTGTTTTATCATTTACAGAGTCGTCAAGTTGAAAAATGACTTCAGAGATGATTCATGAAGTCACCCTTCATTACATATTGTGAAATTATACATTAATTGATTGTTCACCTGCATTTTGATTGCTGTGTCACACAGTATAAATACAAACAGAGTTATATAAAATATATAAATATAATGAGATGGAACTCAATCCATTAGGTTAAGAAGAACTGTTACCAAGGATCTTTTTTTCGCATTAACTGATTTGGAAATATTTGGAAACTACTGAGCTTGAAAACAGCCCATATTATAAATTCATATGTAACCGCTCATTGTTTAGGACACAATGTGGATAGGGTATCCTTTGAGCGATGAGGAGCCCACGATCATACACCACTTCATGTTCTACGAAGACTTAGAAGAAGAGGGCGGGTTTGTGTACCCGCACTTTGCAAGCGGTTTCGCCATGAGATTGGAACTGATTGACATGTAAGAAATTTATTAATCTATGTTAATCACAACCGACTTTTATGTGCATAAATTGATTCATTATTTTCAATGTCAATATTTTTAGGTATTGTTCAAATATCAGGAGATATCAGGAATTCCTTTTCTGATCCTAATATAAAAGTACTGTTTAGTTTTCAAGAATCGTTTGTATGTTATGCTATGCTATTGGTTATTTCTTTATTCTATAACTGAACGAAATTTGATTGTTCTTTATCGTCACTATTAAATAGATTGAACCAAAAAATTGAGAGTGGCGAAAGGAAACTCGAGGCAGACTTCTCAATAGACCCGGCGTACGAGCTCGCACAACTGGTGTACGGCGACACCGGTGTGCCTGGTCCCTTGTTGACTCCTGACCTTAGCTTCTGCATCGTTTCGGGCGACAACTGCGCCACCTATCCACGCCAGTTCCACGCGTGTGTGAGTACCGTACTGACTATTAATCGTTCTTTGTCATTCGATGGAAGATTAAGCTAGAATAGTGATGTTATTCAATGGACGAATGACTCCTGAGCAACAGCGTTTGATTAACTTGTGGCGGCGACATATAGATGCCCCACATATAACCAATGGACGGAGGAAATAATCAGTAGCCATCTTCATGAGATGGCGCTACCGGCGTTGCGATCAATAAGTATGAAAGCCTACATCGCGCAAGATAAATTCGGAGTGTAACATTTAATATATACAATGCCCGACCAACATCGTTTGCGCCGCCGCCCCCGAGCTACCATCATCCAGCTCTGAGGAAGATCTTCCCCTTTTCATTCCTACAAACTATAGTTATATTGGGAGCGAATAGTTTAAATTGATTTAAAATAAAGAACCTTAACATGACCACTACTTATGACATATAGACTAGCTAGCGACTATATTTCGCCTAATTATCAAAGAAAGAGAGCGGGCAAGAAATATCTGTCCACTGGGTTTTCCACGACGGCTATAGCTTATTGCTTGTAAATCAGTTTTTTTCCAATCGTCCGGGAAACAGGATGGGGTTGCATTCATAGCGATTTTTTTCTTTCTAGATAGAATAAATTTCTAACGTTCTTACATAACAGACGTCGTATGTGAATATGAATTTAAAACGAGCTCCATTGGCAGGGCAGCCCCATACCGGAGGAATCTATATTCTTCGCGGTAAAGACCTGGAGCGGCTTCCACGCGACCAGGGCGAAGGTGTTGAAGAAAACTTGGGGTCGCCACGTCACCAACCTGCAGTTCTACAGCGATCAAGATGGTAAGTGCTTTTCGTTTTGATGGTGCTCAGGTTCCACCACAAGTCCATGATCGTACTACTTTATAAAACAAAATCCCTCGCTGTGCGTCTGTATCACGGTAATAATATCATACAGTATTCTATCTTCATACAAACGGTCGGAAAGCGAGCCATACCTACGCCACTCGAGTTCGATGTGCTCTCGGCGTGCACCCAGTCGCGAATGCGCCGCCGCGCCGCAACGACGACCGAACGGTCTGAATTGTTTTTTATGCAGTTAGCCGTGCTTAAACGTGCGTTTTGTATTGTAAATATTTGATTTAATTAAGTAGATACCTACATAATTTAGTATGGAAAAGAACAAACGACGATCAATATCGTACAACAGCACAATTGCTATTTTTGGTTGCTTGAACTCTTCAATAACACACCCAGAGATATCATTTTATAAATTACCTGAAATATTGGAAAGGTGTCTTACCTTTATAGATTATTTTTTATATACCTATCTACTAGTACGTAATTTGTTTCTAATATTTAGGTATTTCAATTTTTCCATCGGGCAAAATATCTGGAATTATATATAAATAAGTGGTTAGGATGAAAAAAGAGACAAACGAGTAATCTACCTACACTCGCGTTAAAAACAAAACTACATAAAATACTGTAGGCGGGCGGCCCTACCGCGTGCCAACGCAGCGCTCGGTGTAGGCATTTATTTCAAGGACAGGGCGGAGTCACAATACGGTATAGATAATATTACCGTGTCTGTATGGTCGCGGTGATCTCAAAAACTACTTAATGGATTTTCAAGGGGCTTTCACCTGAATTTTTCGAGGAAGGATTATATGTATACATCAAGCCCGAGAAGCAAAACTATAGTTTACACCGGAACAAAGCCGAGGATTGAACAATAGTAGTCTAAGAAACATAAGTTAGGCAAAGCAAAAGTGATACCAAGAAGTGATAACTTGACCAAACTTCAGAACACTCGGAGCACTCTCGCTGCATTTGAATATTTTATGGCCGCCAATACAAAACTTATTGGCGTTCGCAAGAACAACATTTTAGTAGTTACTACATGCGGTATATCTGTAGATGAAATTGTAAAGATCAAGAATAAAACTGAAATTTCGACATTGTACGGATGGGATATTTTTCTCAAGACACTCGAGATGGCTACTTCGAGGCACAGGCCGACGTCTCCAAAGTACATGCAAAGACTCAATTTGCACAGCACACTGGCATGATAATTTACTAACACTATTAAGTAATCTGTGGTCTTAGTAACGAAACCTAAATTGAATTAACACTATTTAAAGAGTGTTTTACCCTACACAATCAACAATAACATATCACCATTATACATCATCAGGCTATTAATGTCCCCACTGCTGGGGCACAGGCATTCCCTATGGATGGAACAGGGAGATTAGGCTATGACCCACCACGTGGGCCCAGTGCGGATTGGCGGGTGTTCAATCATCGGATTAGATTCAGGTATATAGAGCATGTAGATTAACAGATAGTTGCCTGTTTTTAAAGTTAATGCATAAGAGTAACTTTTAAAATCAGGTATCATATATCATCATCATCATCTCTGTGACAGAAACTGTGTGATGATTGTGAATGAGCCACAGATTAGAGAGAATTTTTAAAGTCTCGTTAACCAAAGAAAGCTAAGAGATTTAGGTTATATAGCCATATACCTATTCAGTAGCTTCATTAGTTTTGTTGTGTTTTTAATATAACCATATTTTAGATGTTTAGTGTATCACACCTTATAATTTTATTTATTTACTAGCTGACCCAGCGAACTTCGTACCGCCCTAAAAATAGGGGTTGTCCAGCGGACAAAATTGTGAATCTAAACCATTCTCAGATCCCCTTGAACACGCACAACAAATTTCATCAAAATCGGTCGAGTCGTTTAAGAGAAGTTCAGTGACATACACACTCACAGAAGAATTATATATATAAAGATAGTCAGGCAACGTCGGCCCATAGATAGCTACCTTAAAGTCTAAACAGATTATAATGTGTTTATGGAGCTGTTTGGCGAAAAATGTATGGCAATAGACTTTATGATGTCGCCTACCATCTATTATAATTGTCTGAGCACATTTGCATGTAGTGAAAATGATAATATAGTTGTGGATATTAATACCACAGTGTAATATCTCATCTCTTAGAGAAAAATTTAAAGAAATCGGCATTTTGACTGTTGCTTCTCAATTCATTTACAATTGTATACTCCTCGTTAAAAATAATATCAATTTGTATACCAAAAACAGTAACGTGCATAATTTTAACACAAGGAATAGAAATAAGCTTGCATTGCCACCCTACAGGTTACAGAAGGTTTACCGATCTTTTATGGGTCAAGGTATACATTATTATATAATAAAATTCCTGATGCCATTCTTGAGTTACACATAAATGAGTTCAAGTGTCACATTAAAAATTGTTTACTTAAGGAAGGCTATTATACTATTAAAGAATACTTAAATGACAAAACTGCATGGCTGTAACTGTAAATTTGTTTTGTATTTGTTTGCAGTGTCGTACAGATAAATTACCTGAATTCTAAGTAACTATTTTGCTTGGTTTGAGTGGTTATGGGTAGTCATGCTCTCTTAAAAATCTCTTCGGCGGTGTCGTGTGAGGCGGGTCGTTGCGTTCCCTACAATATGGTTGAGCGAAACGATGGCTGGTTCATGCGTCATGCTCGTGAACGGGTGCTGCCAGCGGAGATGAGTCTGCTCTATACTACTTTATTATTATTATAATGATAATTAATTATTTAAGTTAAATTTTATTTGTACAATATTTATACTGTGTGGCACGGCAATCAGAAACAAAAAATTTAGGTGAACATTTATTATTTCTGAGATAAAGATTTAATGGTGGTGTGGATTCTGGCATGGTTCTCTAGACCTGAACTTTGGTTTTGCAGCGGTGTATCCTTATCATTCTCTATACAGAGTGAAGGGGGGGCACTGATGTTGGGTTTGGTTTTGGGTTTGGAGGGTAGTGGCAGAGTCGACACTAGTGTTTAGGTAACCACATGCAAGTGTCCTACAGTTGTGTTTATAGTTTTTTATAGTAATGTACACTGGTACTTAATTTTTTTTTTTTCCCCTATTTTGCTATCTAGTATCCATATGTGGTTATGGGTAGTCATACTCTCTTAAAAATCTCTTCGGCGGTGTCGTGTGAGGCGGGTCGTTACGTTCCCTAAAAAATGGTTGAGCGAAGCGATGGCTGGTTCATGCGTCATGCTCGTGAACGGGTGCTGCCAGCGGAGATGAGTCTGCTCTTGCTACATTGGGTACTATTAATCGTTGTATTTAACTTTAATGGTACATTTGTTTTTATGCCTAAACAGTGGGACACGGCATTCCTAAACTTTTTTTTCATTTTTAAATCGGTTTTTTTATTTTTTATTTTATAGTCATAATTCTTTTATCATTTACATTTGTAATGGAAAGTGACTTCATGGGTTATCTCATATTGAACTCATTTATCAAATTGACGACTCTGTATATAATACAGGGAGAAAAAAACAGCCCTTGCTGAGTTTCTTGCCGGTTCTTCTCAGTACAAGGTCTCCCGCCGTAGATTTGCGAACCGATGGCGTAGCTTTTCGACATTCACAAGTGCTTGTAACAGCCTAGACTGAATAAATGATATTGAATTTTGAATTTTTTGAATTTTTGAATTGAATAAAAAAAATATTTATTTTATCGATCTTTACAAAATAGATTTGTTTTTATGTTAAATAAACAACTTCGATCAGTCTTTGGCTGAATGTTACTACACCCATAGCCATTAAAAATGATTCTCATATGTTTTCCAAACCGGTAAAATGAAAAGTCCTTTTTAAAGTGAATATATTATACAAAGGCGTCCGTTGAAATCTAATGACTGTAAATTAAATTATAAATTACGCCAAGAATTACCGTGTATGTCAATATTTTTTGTGCATTTGGGCCAATTTGAGCAATCTTCTTGATCTCACTCACTTTGATCGTAGTTTTTGAACCTAGTCCTTTTTTTTTTTTTTGGTACGCTGGGGAAATGCATTGAATTGCATACCACATGGTGGTTATGTGGGGCTCTCCTCCCCAGAAGGGGGAGGCCTACCCACTAAAACCCTAGCGATGGCCGCCATCAGGCATTGTACGGGGCCTCAGGATCGAGTATCGCATCTGAGGACCCGCAGCCTTTGTTCCCCTGCTTCCTCCAGGGGAGCCCTTCTGGGGGGAGTGTTCGCAACCTCCCCCATCTACCCTCCTACGACGACACCCCCCGGCCATGCGGGGGTGTCGTCCCTCCCAGGTCGCTTCCATGAGCACAAGCTCCGTCGACCTAGTTCTGTGTATTTTGTGTAAGACAGCCACGTGAGCAGTAGACGGCGTGTGAAGAGAAACATGTTTCAGAAACATAGTTTTGTGTTTTTTATTGAATGTTTTCAAAAACTTTTTTCTGGAGACTCACCCGCCTTTAGTTATACTTTAGCGTTTTTTATACAGGTAGTTTCTTATCAATCATCTTATTTTGATACAATCTCAAGAAACTCATAGAATTGTATGAATTAGTTGTGAGGTACAAAACCAAATTCCTATATTTTCTGGTATCTTAACCGTCTATACTATAAACGATTAAGGCTTTTGGCTCGCCTTATGCCTATAGACTCTATAGGCATAAGGCGAGCCAAAAGCCTGTTTGCCACTCTTGTAACATAAAAAAAAAATATGCAATGCTATTGGGTTCATCAAGAAGTTTGTTCCTATCAAGATCCGTCGCTGCCAGCGGTTGACACCGGCATACCGAACACCAAGACAGGGCATTGCTCCAAGACGCTGGCTATATTGAAACAAGTGGTGAAACGAGTCAGCAATATGCCCCATATCAAGTGGATATTCCTGGCAGACGACGATACCATACTCGGGTAAGTCATCAATATTATCAGTGTCCCAACTGCTGGGGCACAGCTGTTTCCTATGGACGTCATAGGGGGATTGGGGTATGACCACAGAACACAGAAATTGGTTATAAGGGCCTTTTGGGCAGGGCAGGCGCGCCACAGTTATGTATGAGGAAGTGCTCATAACTTGACCAAAACTTGCTTCTGATTGCGTCGTTACTCTCGGTTGTGAGCGCTGATTGGTACGATTGTTTGATGTCGCGTCTTTTGATTGGCTATTATTTATCTATTAGGTGGAGGTGTTGTGGTAGCGAACCGGCGAAATCGGTTCGGTTCAAACGGTCTATGATTGATCACCCGTGGGCATGAACCACTACGCGGGCTCTGACACGAGGCGTATTGGTGGGTGCTAACGACTGCAGATGCGGCCGGGATCTACGGCTTCAAGTGCCTTCTAAAGCACGTAAGAGCTCGAGGTAATAAATGTTTGGTCACCTATCCATTTACCGACCATTGAGAAAGTTGATTAACTACAATGATCGCAGGCCGAACGTGCTAACCACCTGCGCCATCGAATATACTAGAACATAATGTATAGTATGAGTTCACTCATTATTTCAATTACTTGATGTTTTTGATGGTTTTGAGACTTCTATTTCGACTTACCTTCCGTCCGGATTAGTCCTAACATGCCCGGACTTTTACGATCTAATCCGGACTTTGTTCGGTTCATTAAATTGTCCCGATTCTTAAATTTCATGGAATATGAAAAATAAAACTAAATGTTATATCAAACACTATACCATTGTATAACTAAGTGAGTATGTTTCCATATTGTGCCTAAAAAGTCCGGACTTTTTTTGGAATTGTCAGGACTTTTGAATTTTCTAAATGGTCACCCGGATTCCGACTAAGTTGAGTTCTTGAGTGAGTGCAAAATACAAGTTATTTTTAAGTACGTATTTATTTATTTGAGGCCTTGAGAACCATAGTGGCTTAACTTATTTTTTTACAATATTGACTTTATGATTTTTTCCAGATCAAATTGATCATTTTGATTGAACCAGAGTGGTCTTAAAGTGATACAACGAATATTCACTAGATGGCAGTGTAATCACTGTTACGGTTTTTAGTCTGTGATCTAAATTTGAGGTGTAATACTGGCCTAAGTAATATAGGCCACTATGGTTAAAAAATGAGTTAGGCCACTAGGTTCTCATGGCCTCATTTATCAGTGCATGAGCGAGTCACGACCGAAGATGTGTAATGTGTTTACTATGTGTTATGTATTTTCTTCACTTTTGAAAAACTTACTGGACGTATGGGATCCAATTATGGGGCACCGCATCTGACTAAAACATTGAAATTCTACAAAGGTTTCAAAATAAATCCCTGCGTATGATTACCAACGCACCCTGGTTTGTTCCCAACGAACTACTACATCATGACCTAAGGATACCTACTGTAAAGCTAGAAATTGTCCGCCGTACTAAGTCCTATAAAGAACGCATCAAAACACATCCAAATGCTTTAGCTCGGCCATTAATGGAGAACCACATCAAAGCACGACGATTAAAACGTAAAATACCACAAGATAATGTAGCCCAATCACAGTAAAACATACTGTCTAAACAATGAGGTTGTGACACAGGTCACATACTGAGCGCGCCAGCAATAGCACCAACCAAAATACTGCTGAATGTCCCAAGAAGGAGACAGATTGTAGTAAACCGAAAACAAAAAAAAAAACTTTTGAAAAAAGTTGGAGAATGGCGTTTCAAGGAAATAAAAAATGAGCTTGCGTTGACGAATGGCTATCCTGTCGGATTTTAGTCATGACATTGAAAATTGAAACAGAAAATATTTAATTGCTAAGAAAATGTTACTAGAAAAGAATCTACGCGGTCCAAGCAGCCGGTTTTCTACAATGCGAAGAGATGGCGCTGTCTTGCAGCCTAAGAAATACTAGAGGAAATTCGACACGGGCAGCGGTAGCATAATTGTCAGTGCACTCACCCGGATAGCGAAGGGTGCGGGTTCGAGTCCCGTCTGCTGCCTTAATTGTTAAATTAAAATTTTCCTTAGATTTAAATATCTAGCAGTTAAAGGCTAAAAAAATAAAAATATAACAGAAGATAATTAATTTGTATAGCGTCCAGAGGCTTTGCGAGGTGCTGAGTTGTTACCGTGGAGGTGATGACGTCACTATACTGGGAGAACGATACGGCTACGGGTACGGCAAGATTGAAACTGCTGCGAAAGGTAAGTGAATCTACGAAAATAACTGATGTTAATCGTCTTTTGTATTTCTAACAGATTTTTTTTTTATTTGCAACTCGTTTGCTTGCGATTTCTCCATTATAAATGATAATAATAAAATTATTCAAAATTCAAAAAAATTCAAAATTCAATATCGTTTATTCAGTCTAGGCTGTTACAAGCACTTGTGAATGTCGAAAAGCTACGCCATCGGTTCGCAAATCTACGGCGGGAGACCTTGTACTGAGAAGAACCGGCAAGAAACTCAGCAAGGGCTGTTTTTTTCTCCCTGTATTATATACAGAGTCGTCAATTTGAAAAATGACTTCAATATGAGATAACTCGTGAAGTCACTTTCCATTACAAATGTAAATGATAAAGCAATTATGACTAGAAAATAAAAAATATAAAAAACAGATTTAAAAATGAAAAAAGTTTAGGAATGCCGTGTCCTACTGTTTAGGCATAAAAACAATAATACACCATACACAGAGACACAAGTAAATTAAAAACATGATAGACAGAACGTACACAATATAGGCGGCCTTATTGCTAGACAGCAATCTCTTCCCATAATATTTTTTTTATTTAATACATATAATATTCACCCAGTGTTGCCAGGTCCGAATTTAAAAAATCGGAGGCGTTATAGAAAAAAACACAGTAGATGTATGGAAAGAGCTACAAGAAAAACAGTAGAATGCAGAGGCGTACTTTTTCCAATTTGCACACTCCCCCTCCCCCACCCCCCAGAATTGGTAAATCAAATAAAGTCAATCAATCAAGAACCAGTAACGAATAAATAAATAATAAATAAATATTTCCAACACACACACCAATTAGCCTAGCCCCAAAGTAATCACTATAAGGCTTGTGTTATGGGATACTAGGGTAACGGATAGAATACATATGCTGTACATATATAAGTAAATTTATATAGAAATACATATTAAACATCCATGACTGGAGTACAAATGCACGTATTCATCACACAAACATCTGCCCCCACCGGGATTCGAACCCGGGACCTCTCGAGTCGGCGACACCATGAAACCCGGCGTACAAACCACTCGGCCAAGGAGGTCGTGAATGTGTTTCTGTGCTCGCTTCGCGCTTCTGCCGCCCCTTAATAAGGTTACCTACATTATTAATGGCTGAAAATGCAACTCAACATGCAATTTAAAAAAGATAATCGTATTAAGAAAAACAAGAGATTCATGTAGATAGGAGAAATTTCAGCAAAACACTAGATCTGGCAACACTGTATTCACCAAACATTACGAATCAGCTTTTAACGACATGGACAATCTTACCTTTTCCCATTCAATTGCTATGAATTAGACGTTCTATACATTTTTAAAATACCAGTTATTTATGAGTAGTGTGCTGTAAAAAATATTGTATCGATTTATCATTATTTTGTAATGTCGTATAACTATTTCTGAAGTCATTTTTCAACTTGACGACTCTGTATATAACAATACAGGGAGAAAAAAACAGCCCTTGCTGAGTTTCTTGCCGGTTCTTCTCAGTACAAGGCCTCCCGCCGTAGTTTTGCGAACCGATGGCGTAGCTTCTTGACCTTCACAAGTGCTTGTAACAGCCTAGACTCAATAAATGACATTTCATTTCATTAGAGACCGTTCATTACCTTTGGGTAATGAACGGGTTATTTGTAACCCGTTACATTTTTCGCTTTAACAAAGTGACGTAGTAAGAATAGGGGTGATGACGGGGTACAGTAAACGAAATTCTATTTAGTCCGTCAGTTAGATGATCAAAAAATAATGGACACGTATTTTTTCTTTGGGCAATCAACCAAAAAATGACAAAGTTATAGCGCGTCAAAGTTTGGGAGTAGGGGCTCGTGACGTCACTTTTGAGTGAATTTTCACTTATAAATGTACTCAAACGTGACGTCATGGGACTTTTCAAATCAATATATCTGTGCAATGTTTATATTGTGTGAAAAAAGAAAAAATACGTGTCCAATACTTTTTGATAATCTACCTGATAAACGAAGAAAAAAAAATTAGTCATCATCCCTATTATGTAAGATCGATCCAAGTGATTCCCGACCCTCTTGCCCGATAAGTCGCTTAATAATGTCGAAACAAACAAGTTTTCCTTTATAGAGAATGCGTAATTACATTTAGGGCCTTTTAATAACAAGGAAACCATTTTAATATCGATCAAAGATATTTGAATTTTGAACTCTATTTTCAGTGCAATAGGTTGTCTTATAGATAAAATTGGAATAGTAGTTTGAATTTAGAATTCTCTTTTAAAATCGTAAATGTAACGGCAACTCTTTCGATTTGTTGACATTACAAAAACTTTGAATGAATGAATGATCACTATATTGTACACCATGATATTTCAAAGGACAATTAATTAAAACTATTACATAATAGTACAAACGGCGGCCTTATCGCTAAGAAGCAATTTCTTCCAGGCAACCGTATGTTAACTGGACTTTTATATAAGGAGTGGGACGTAGATGGTGTCATTTAAAGTGCAAATACCATTAATAATACTTATAAATAATTATGTACAACACTTTGGTAAACTAATAGGGAAATCCATAGTCCATGGGCATAATTACAAATAATTTATCGTCAAAATTATGTCACAGGAAGGCGGCAAAATCTTTCTCAAGAATTATAAGGTCGTTCAGAAAATAACAATTTCTTTTACCTGGGGTACTTACAATTAAGCAAAAATCTACCTTATTGTTTTGAAATAGTTGTACAACAATAAACTTATGGTGTGTCAGGAATCAAATTGGCTGATTGGACTCTAAATAACTTTTACTTTTCGCAGTTAATATACGGATTTTAGGTATTTACACAAATTTTCGTGTAAGTAATGTCCTTTATCAATTCGCAAATTTACAAAGCTATGACGCCTAATTCACTCGGACGAATCAATCAATATTCAAGATCATTGGACTAAAGTTAATGGTGTCACTATGCGATAACAATAGGATGAGACTGAATTATGTATTAAATTAACTTGACGTTTCTGACTATCATCCCGTTAATCTCGACGTAGTTTAGCGACTACATAACGGGTTGGGCGCGTGCCTAATGCACTCACTATACCGGTGATTCTCAGTTAAGAGGTAATCGGTTGTATGGAAGCAGTGGCACAGCAAAAGTATCGATATTTATATAACTATATCACTACTTTTATCAAGACAGATGATTTTAATATGATCAGTCATTTTTTTAGTTTATTCTAGTTTTACGAGACACCAGGGGATATACTGAGTACAGGGTAGAGACAAGATGAAATTTATTGCAATGCGCTTAGAGCGCATATTAGGATGCACTGTAAAGTACTTACCCGTGCAATCAGATTTTAGTGGAATAACGATATAAAGCGAAACAATTATCTAAAATATATGCAATTGTACATTCTCTAATAAATTATCATTACTGTTATTGAGCTATTGCATCATTTTTATAGTTTTGTTAGTAGCCTGGTGCATAACAGGCAGGGGAAATATGGCAGGGTAGAGACATTTTCGTTAAAAATCTTAAATTGCCGTAAAACTACTAATTTTACAAAGATTTCAAATAAATAAAAGGTTTGCAACACTATTTAAAATAAATGTATATAGATATTGTAGTATTTAAACACATAAATACGAAAAAAAATGACCAGGGTAAATACTTCGATCACTCAACATGGCTGCACTTATCGAGCACCGTTGCGCAAATGGCCAAAAAAATTGCCGCGCGGATGGCTTGTGCAGCGCTTGCTGCTAGCTCATGTGACACTCGGTGTCTTCAAGGTCAGAACTACCACAGACTATGGTAAACAAATAAGATTTTCAAACTAAACCTAAGGCCAGGGGGCGAGACACGAAACTCGGAGGACACAGTTAGCGATTAATATTTTTTATAAAAAGTGCAAATATAAATGAATTTAATGTTTACATACTGTAACTAAGTTATCAGGGTTCATGTTATTACCGATAGAAAAGTAATAATTAAATTTCAATGGACTCAAAATTACTGATTTACAACAAAAAAAAATGGTTATGGGACAACCCAGGGGAGAGATGTTTTTCCTCTTTGTGCTGTTATTGTAAGTAAATTATGCACATTTAGAATATAATTTTAAGTGACAATTTAGAACACATTTAGTTAATTGAAATTATTAAGATTTTAGACCATAGTTTCCAAATATAATGTTTTTTTTTGCTTAGCCATCGAACATACCTCTTAACTGAGAATCACCCATACCCGCCTCGATCATAGTCCGCGTCTCGCTCAGGGTACTCGTACATAACGGGCGGGGGCGGCACGGCGCTGAGCGCGGGCGCGGCGCGCGCGCTGGCCGGGTGCGCGTGCGCCGCGCTCTCCGCGCCCGACGACATGACGCCGGGCGCGTGCCTAATGCACTCACTATACCCGCCTCGATCATAGTCCGCGTCTCGCTCAGGGTACTCGTACATAACGGGCGGGGGCGGCACGGCGCTGAGCGCGGGCGCGGCGCGCGCGCTGGCCGGGTGCGCGTGCGCCGCGCTCTCCGCGCCCGACGACATGACGCCGGGCGCGTGCCTAATGCACTCACTATACCCGCCTCGATCATAGTCCGCGTCTCGCTCAGGGTACTCGTACATAACGGGCGGGGGCGGCACGGCGCTGAGCGCGGGCGCGGCGCGCGCGCTGGCCGGGTGCGCGTGCGCCGCGCTCTCCGCGCCCGACGACATGACGCCGGGCGCGTGCCTAATGCACTCACTATACCCGCCTCGATCATAGTCCGCGTCTCGCTCAGGGTACTCGTACATAACGGGCGGGGGCGGCACGGCGCTGAGCGCGGGCGCGGCGCGCGCGCTGGCCGGGTGCGCGTGCGCCGCGCTCTCCGCGCCCGACGACATGACGCCGGGCGCGTGCCTAATGCACTCACTATACCCGCCTCGATCATAGTCCGCGTCTCGCTCAGGGTACTCGTACATAACGGGCGGGGGCGGCACGGCGCTGAGCGCGGGCGCGGCGCGCGCGCTGGCCGGGTGCGCGTGCGCCGCGCTCTCCGCGCCCGACGACATGACGCCGGGCGCGTGCCTAATGCACTCACTATACCCGCCTCGATCATAGTCCGCGTCTCGCTCAGGGTACTCGTACATAACGGGCGGGGGCGGCACGGCGCTGAGCGCGGGCGCGGCGCGCGCGCTGGCCGGGTGCGCGTGCGCCGCGCTCTCCGCGCCCGACGACATGACGCCGGGCGCGTGCCTAATGCACTCACTATACCCGCCTCGATCATAGTCCGCGTCTCGCTCAGGGTACTCGTACATAACGGGCGGGGGCGGCACGGCGCTGAGCGCGGGCGCGGCGCGCGCGCTGGCCGGGTGCGCGTGCGCCGCGCTCTCCGCGCCCGACGACATGACGCCGGGCGCGTGCCTAATGCACTCACTATACCCGCCTCGATCATAGTCCGCGTCTCGCTCAGGGTACTCGTACATAACGGGCGGGGGCGGCACGGCGCTGAGCGCGGGCGCGGCGCGCGCGCTGGCCGGGTGCGCGTGCGCCGCGCTCTCCGCGCCCGACGACATGACGCTGGGCGCTTGCGCGACGCACCGCCTCAACATCACTCTCACGCACTTGCCGCTCTTCCACCAGGTTAGTAATCATTTAATTAATTTTGGATCTGTTACGATAAAATTTTATTTATTTTAGCAAATCCTAGTTCCTGACTTAGACACCTCGCACACTAGACGGCCACGACCACGGCCAGTGGTCGCAACGACCATACACATATAAACAAACATATGAGAGATGCGTGCGGTGCTCCATTCCCCTATGCCTTATGCACCGCTGATGTTAGGTTATTTAAGAACAGAAGTTTTTCTTAGATGTGTGGTCCGTGCAGATTTTTTTTTGTTAACAAACAAAGTAACCTCCTTTACTTTCTCAAGTTCACCTTTTCCTGTTACGGTGCAGGCCCGTCCACAAGACTACGCCCGAGAGGTCATTGCTCGCGATCGCCCAGTTTCCTTCCACCGGCACTCGTCACCGGATCCGGTGCGAGTATACGCCACCTGGTTTCAGCACGATGACTTGGCGCTGCGACATAAAAGAGACGAGCTCTAACTACTATAATATATGACGTACAATATATTTGGGGGTTTATCCGGTCTCCTTCCACCGGCACTCGTCGCCGGGCCCGGTTGGAGTATACGCAACCTGGAGCTCTATTTTTGAATCACTCGCCTTGCGTCGAAAGCTCGATTTATACAAATTATAATTCGACATAATAAATTCCGTATTTTTGATTCGCTCGACGTCAACGAGCGGTCTCGACCAATCGTTGCGCCTTGGCGAATGATGGAAGCGAATAATTGTTGAATAATTGTCAAATTTATGTCAGATATTTTCAAGACTTTTTCTCAATCTTTTTAGAATACAGATAAGACGACGATTTGTTGCGACGTTTTCATCTTTTCTATGTTAGAGTAATTGAGAATTTTTGACAGCGGTAATGACCGACTGTTTTTATCTTTTTCCGTGAAATTAATAAAAGTAAATATTTTGTATTAAATTGGTGACACTGTAGATGAACGATTCAAAAATACTAAAAATCAGTATCATGCGTCTTGGAAGTCGAAAGTGACTTAAGTCGCATTCGACGATACTATGTCAGGCGAGCGAATCAAAAATAGAGCTACTGGTTCTAGTAGGCTCACCCACGTTTCCTCGTTCAGTACTGTTCTGAGCGCTAGGTGGGAACGTAGCGGAGTTGCACGGGTTTTGTATGAAATTTAACAACACAAGAATACTTTATTTATTTGTAATGACTTTGTGTAAAAGAGCGATGGGTCGTTAAAATTATTTAGAAAATAACAGAACCGAGTTTTAAACGATTCGGTCATGAAAGCGCTAATATCAACTTGTGAATTTTATCAACTAGGGGTCTAACCTAGTTAATTAAAATAAAAATATTGTTACCTACGAGTTGTGATTTATAATTGTTAAAATAAATTAATATAACTATGTATATTTGACTAAAACAGCATATCATTAAATATTTGATAGGAAGATTTTTTCCTGCCGTAAGGCCTAATATTGTATTAAAGTGTAAAGTTGCTTCTATTAACTTCCTACGCATTGTACACTAGTTTTATAGTATTTTTTTTGCTTGATACTAATTTCTTACAAAAAAATACTTCGATTTATGTAAACACAAATTTAAATACTGAACTCTACAAAGAGTCGCATGAAACGTGTCGTATATTCATGAAAAATATTAAAATCTTTGTAAAAACGGGTGTAGAAATACAAATGATAATTTTGTATTTATAAAGGTTTCATGGCACACTTTCGCGAACTAAAAGACTTTAACGCAAACGGCAAAGAACCTCCAATCGGTAATTCGATATGCTGTCTACAAACTTTGCACATGTTCTATTAAGCGTTTCATATCGATATGATAAGCAAACACACGATAAAATTTGTGGCAGACATATTCAACTCGAACATTATCAATCGTCACCGTATCGAGCCGTTCAGTGCTCCTAGCACGAACCATTATCGAATTCGAATAGTTTGCAAACCGAAATGTCAATGTCAAATTTTGTATGGAAACTTGAACAGCAGCGGCACAAAGTACGTAACGAGAACTAAAAATCAGTACACATTTGACAATGTCATTTCGGACTCGCAAACGATACGAATTCGATATTGGTTCGTGCTAGGGGTACTGTACCCTTAGCACGAACCATTATCGAATTCGCATATTCTGCGAGTCCGAAATGTAATAGGGATGATGACATTTTTTTTTCTTCGTTTATCAGGTAGATTATCAAAAAGTATTGGACACGTATTTTTTCTTTTTTCACATAACATAAACATTGCAGAGATATATTGATTTGAAAAGTCGCATGACGTCACGTTTTGGTACAATTTTCACTTAAAAGTGACGTCACGAGCCTCAACTCCCATACTTTGACGAGCTATAACTTTGTCATTTTTTGGTTGATTGCCCAAAGAAAAAATACGTGTCCATTATTTTGTGATCATCTAACTGACGGACTAAATAGTATTTCGTTTACTGTACCCCGTCATCACCCCTATTTTTAAGTGTGTATTTTTAGTTCTCGTTACGTCCTTTGTGGCGCCGCTGTTCAAGTTTCTATGCTAAATTTGACAATGACATTCCGGACTCGCAAACTATTCGAATACGATATTGGTTAGTGCTAAGGCTACAGTATCCTTTTTATAATCGGAATCGGTCTAGTACCCGTTGGACCCTCAAGTTTCGACCCGAAAGCAAAAAGTGTCCATTGAACCTCCATTATATGACCCATTGGACCTCTTTAATTTTTTATCGTATGTAACGCAAATCGTTGGATAGAGACGAGGAGTTGATATGTCTGTTACGACCTTTAACAAGAATAATCGTTTATAGTAAAAATACAATAAACGGACATTTACTTGATATAACAAAATTGTCATGAGTGTCATATAATAGAGTATTTGACAGTATTAAAAATAAAGTGCCAATTGTTAGTATCCTTATTTAGAATGAATATTGGCTCCCGCCAAAAAACTCCTGTTTTTACTATTTTTACAGAAAAAATATTCATAATTTTCCTAAAAACCCACGATAAAGTTAATAGTTTTCTTGTCTAATGTCACGTGACCCAAAACTCTTGGGATTGGTGGAGCCTAAAATGACGTCACACTCAAGTAAACTTCCGTTTAAAGTGACATTTGATTGTATGGTTTGACGTTTTAATGACAGTCGTGTGACGTCACACACCAATGAGTCGCCATATTGTCCAGAGATATGTTTTTCGCGGCAACTTGAAAATAGAATTTTTGATTTAGTTTTTTTACCGAAATACACAACATAATGATGAATATCCCGCCTCGTTTATGGACTCTATAAACATTAGTAAATAACTTGAGATCGTTTTCTAAAACTTGTCAAATACCCTATTATATGATGACCCATTGGACCTCAAATTTTTTATTGTAGGTAACGCAAATCGTTGGCTAGAGACGAGGAGTTGATATGTCTGTTACGACCTTTAACAAGAATAATCGTTTATAGTAAATATACAATAAACGAACATTTACTTGATATACCTAACAAAATTGCCATGAGTGTCATATAATTATTGGACAAGTTCAGTGTACTTATGTACTTTTATTTTATTATAAATCGTTAAGAGGATATTTTTAAGTAGTTTGGCTACTTAAAAATATTCTAGATATATTAGACATTTACAGCTGTAAGTATTTTAATTAGTTACCTATTGTGTAATCATTCAACTTAAGTAGTTAAATAATTATTAAATGTTATAATTATTATGTTTATGTATTATTTAGTGACGTTCAAATTGTTAAGTAATCAATCAATGTTGTCTTATTAATTTTGACATATCGACAAATTATTTCATTAAATTGTATATTTTTGTAAAGAAAAAGGAAGTTGTTTTATTCCCATTCCTTTTAGAAAAAAGTATATTTAAAGAGATTACAAAAATCGTTTTAACCTTTCATGGTCACTAACATTATAGCTATTAACGGGATTGTTACCATTCATAGTCTGTGCGGAAAGAGAATGGGCGTGGCGAAAAACGGAACTAATATTAAGATTTTTTTTGGCAATCAGACCCAGCAATCTGTAAAACGTCAAAGTTTTGTATTGATACAGATTTGTTTGTTGTTGTGAGTTTTTGCAGTTTTTTGTATTCAATCATGTCTAAAAGGGGTAAAACCTTACAATTACGGTAGAAAAGCACTACAGCGCCCTCCAATCTAAATCCTATTCTCTTTCCGCACAGACTACCTTGTTTTTTTGCGAGTCTCGGATATTTCAGCACTGGCAGGCGCCATGATCACGGAGTAACAAGGTACATGGTAACAATCCCGTTTAAAGCTATAATTATAAAATCTTCAATAAAAGTACTCAGTTCTTTCAATTAAAAAAAATACGAAAATAAAGTAAGTAGATTATATTTATTTGAACCATTAACTGCTAGATATATAAAACTAATGACAATTTGACTTTTTTTTACTCTACACTTAAGAAAATAAAATAAATATTCCGTTTGCGTATTAAATAAAAATTTGGCACTGATTTAAAGAGGCAGTTGTAAATAGCAGTTTTGGTAGGTTTAAATTAAAAATGGCACGTTTAATAACTAGTTCAGTAGTTAACACTTAGCAGTAAAGTAAACAAAAATGAGTACCTAATAAAAAATAATGATATGGATCGGTAAATACCTATATAATTGAGCAGGAAAATAATTAAATGGGCGGTAAAAAATATTGAACGAGCTGTTACGTGTAGTAATAAATCTTAATTTGTCGGTAAGAAATCTCATTCTAAGCAATTCTATAAACAATGAGGTGGTAAAATAAAGTAAAAAAAAAAACAGTACTTAAATAGTAATGAAATATTTAATTACTTTTGCTTTGACTGAAATAATTAAATAAAATAAATTGTATAATAATAATAGTTACTTTTATTCGTAATTCAAAACATACTTAAGTTATTAAAATGACATAGAATTTGCTTAGTAGCAGCTAAAATAAACTTATTGTATAATGTGATTGGTCGCTTCCGCCACCCGCGCTAATAAGCTCCGCCCAACTAACGAACATTTACCTCTGTTTTTATCATTGTATGATAAAATAACTAATTGATTTTTAATTTTAATTACTGTCCATGTTTTACTGTACAATAATTTTAAATTAATAAATAAAATTTTAAAAATTAAATTAAAAGACTGCTCAATATGTTTTTCAACTGATCATAATAACATCTCGAATATGTAAATAACAGCTCAAAAAATAAGTTCCCTTAAAATTTTCGTTGTTAAAAAAATCACAAATAAAGTTTATTCATCTCCCTTTAGAAATCCACTACTGGTGTTAGTGCTTTGAATAAATGCTTTATAGTGATTCATTACTTTCTTTATAAAATAATAAATTAATATTTCCAAAACTCACACCAATTTGCCTTGCCCCAAAGTAAGCACTGTAGGCTTGTTTATTGGGATACAAGAGTAAGGGATACAATAGATAGAAAGATAGATAGATAAAACTTTATTCACACCAACATGCACACATACAAAATTGAAGACAAACTTTACAATTATATAAATCCTTATACTGATACTAAATAAGTATCTTTATATATATAATTCTTCTGTGAGTGTGTATGTCACTGAACTTCTCTTAAACGACTGGACCGATTTTGATGAAATTTTTTGTGTGTGTTCAAGGGGATCTGAGAATGGTTTAGATTCACAATTTTGTCCGCTGGACAACCCCTATTTTTTTAGGGCGGTACGAAGTTCGCTGGGTCAGCTAGTATTTATATAGAAATACATATTAAACATCCATGACTGGTGTACAAATGCTCGTATTCATCACACTATCATTTGCCCCCACCGACCCCTCGAGCAGGCGACACCTTGAAATCCGGTGTACAAACCACTCGGCCACGGAGGTCGTCAAATGTAAAATCAATAGTGCTTTCTGTTGACGGAAGCAAAATATAGATTAATTAATGACGATGATTCAGTCTGTCTATGCGTCCGTATAAATCGGGGATGACTTGCTCGAAAGCTGTTACATAATTTCCGGCTACAACAAACGGCTTCTTGGATTTCAGCGATGATAAACTGCTTCGTGTTGCGGCATCAGATATCATGTTTGATATATATAATAACGTAAGTTGATCAATTCTTACTTTGAAAATTAACTGTGTAAATATATTTTCGTACCACTTGCTCAATAACGTGACATTCTATGCCACAAAAAGCGAACATAACAAGTCATTTTTAATCTGTTAAAAACAGGGAAAGAAAATTGTACTGAATTTCATTCACCCTCTTTGGAATACTTACTGAAAATTATACTGAACTACATCTGTGTTTACACCATTGAGTTTGTATATAAAGCATTATACATCTTTTTGAAAAAGGAATACGCATTTATTGTGGAGTTATGATTATTATATAAAATTACGAAAACTGACGAGTCCGTATTTAATTGGACTAATGTTTCGAATGTTAATTTTTACTTTTAATTGTCATTATTTTTAATAAATGCTTATCTCATTTGTGAGTATGTGAGTGTGTATGTTTGTTACTTCTTCACGTCTAAATGGCTGAAGCGATTTTAATAAAATTTGGTATGGAGTTAGCTGACACCCTAGATTAACACTTAAGCTACTTTTATCCCGAAAAATGTTAGGTTCCAGAGGGATTTTAAAGAAACTAAGTTAACGCAGACGAAGTCGCGGGCGACCTCTAGTTATTAAATAAAATTACGAAAACTGACGAGTCCGTATTTAATTGGACTAATGTTTCGAATGTTAATTTTTACTTTTAATTGTCATTATTTTTAATAAATGCTTATCTCATATTATTATTGTGTTAATTTTTTCGCAAATGGTACGAAAACTATAGTATTTTCCTCGGTGATAAAGCTGTCTTAGTCTTGGGTGAACTTAAATCCCTCGCTACACTCAGGACTCGTCAGAAATCGTCACCCGCGACAGAAGAAACTGCTTTATTCCCTTGGTTAATAATCTACTATTATTTTGGCCTTTAAGCTACTCTAGTTAGTTGTGTATTTATATTTGGATCTTAGATTTCAACATCTGGCACCCGCAGTTTATTAGGAATTTTTCCCGCAGTAAACTATGTGTTAATCCAGGGTGTCAGCTAACTCCATACCAAATTTTATTAAAATTGCTCCAGCCGTTTAGATGTGAAGAAGTAACTTTCGCCTTTATAACATACATACACACTCACAAACTTTCGCCTTTATAATACTAATGCGATAATTTATTTTCACGTGTCAAGGTGTATATTTCAAAGATTCTCTGGTTATGCTAACAAAAACATTGAGATAACGTGAATTCAACAAATCATCAGTTTAAGGCCCGTATTACAGAATGACAAAAAAGTGTTGGTCTTTACTTGTTTGTACAGTTAGAAAGGGATGTCGCTATGTGCTATATATAGCGACATCGCTTTTAACTATGCTCAAGACTAGATCAATCACTGAGAATCTTCCTATAATACGGGCCTTAAAGAGTGAAAGACTATTAGTCAGTCACGTCAAATACATTGTAAAATGTGTAAAATTTCGACAAATGGATACTTTTACTAAGAACTATTTTAACTAGGTATAATCACTTTTAACTATGTATCAAACAACGGGCCGTTACTACATTGATAACAGTTCGATCATCCGGTCTACTGGTTGATGGGGTAAAGGAAATGTCTCGAATCTACTATCTAAGCCACTGGATCCCACCTAGACTTACATCAAGTGAGATGGGGAACTCGACTGCGCCTTTAATAAAAACACGCCAGAAATGATAAGGGTGAAGCCAAACGAGCGTAATTTTGTGAGTTGTGAGTCGCTTATTTTCGGTCACTTATTTTACGTTCAACTGAATTTCTGTTGATCTGCCATACGAACGTAATTTATTCAGTTACTATTGAGCGTTAGTACGGGGTGTTCGTGTCGTCGAGTGCAATGAATGCATTAAAAATATTGTGTATTTACGAAGCATATTCAGAAGATGAGGCCAGAAAAAGAAACTGGGTAAACCCACTGAATAGTCAGAGGCTGATATGTGGACAGTTCCATACTTTATATGAACGTTTATGTGCAAATCCAGATATGTTTGAAAAGTACTATCATATGCCATTACGTGTTTTTCAAGAATTATTACACCACGCAACTTGTAACAAACTGTTGCTTCCCCTCTCCCCTTCCTTGCCCTACTCTCACCCCGACCGAAATTCGGACGAGCTTATGCGCATTGAGTCGGCAGACAACTCATTTTGCGTTGTCGTGTGGCAC